GAAATAAGCAAAGGAAAAATGTAAATTAACTTTACTATTTTAAACTATTTAGTCACATTGCTTATACCTCATCATTTATATTAAATAATGTATTAGTATTCTATTAAATATTTCTCCTAAACACAAATTAAAATAAAGAGACACCAGGAGACCAAGATTAAGTACTCAACTAATACTCTAGTCCATATCAAAGATAAATTACTCATAAGTGGTATTGTTCTCCTTTGACATGTTCTTAATGTCTATATCCCTCCTATTCTTTAGAGCCAGCCTAAGCCTCAACTCCAGAACAACTTCTATAACTAGGTTCACTGTTAAAGCAAGAGTTCACCTTTCTCAAAGTGCATTTACTGTCTTTATCAGATAGGTATTCTTAAAAAAAGATGTCTACAAATTTCAGTACCAGTAATTTAGCACCCAAAGTCAGCACATAACTTAGATTACTGTTATGAAGTTTGTTGGTTTCTTATAACACACAATATTATTCAATAATTAGCATTTATGGCCTTGGCTGGTGTTGCTCAAAGATTAGAGCGTTGACCCATGCACCAAAGGGTCGCAGATTCGATTCCTGGTCAAGGGCATGTACTTGGGTTGCATGTTCGCTCTCGGCCCCAGGTCTGGGTGCATGGAGGAGGCAACCAGTCGATGTCTTTCTCTCATTTCGATGCTTCTCTCTTTCTCTCCTTCCTCCCTTTTATTCTCTCTGAAAAGCAGTGGAAAAAATATCCTCAGGTGAAGATAACAAAAAATAATAACAATTGGTATATATGTAGCTAAACTATCTTTACAATTATATTGTGAACAACACTATTAGTAGAGGTAATCTTTTTATTTTATTTTATAATTTCACAGTACCTGCAATGGTACTAGATATTGCATTCCACACATTAGTGATTACCTTTTTTAACCCCAGGTTTAAATCCTTTATCTTGACGTTCCGGATACTGAGGAATGTGGATTTCCTTGGGGACATAAAAATATCCTGGAAGGCTTACTTCTGTTGTATATAAAACGGACTTAGGCTGCTTTAACTTTGAGATATTAAAAAGCATACAAGTCTGCAAATAAACAGAAAGAAAATTTGGAATGTAATTCTCTTATCTTTTAACTCTAAAACACAAAAGAGAGCATTACCAATTTAGACTCTATATTTGGGGGGAAATCAATCAAGGAGTTGAATTTGTTCATTTCTTTAGATACTATTGTTTAATTGGTGGAAGACAACACTAAACCATTTCATAGAATTAATGGAGCCATCCTTTATTGAGAGATGCTCAGTGTCCCCTGTTCTAATTCTTTCAGTGTTGAGGAATCCATTGCTTCAGGAAGAAACCATTCCATTGGTGAACCGCATTGAGAAAGTGCTTTCCTCCTTGAATTGATCCCTGTGTACTTTAACATCTACCCATCAGTTCTAGTTCTCATTAGCAATACACTTAGTCTCCTTTCTTATGCTAATGACAGTTTGGGGGGGGGACAGAAATAAATATACACACACACACACACACACACACACACACACGTATAAAACGAGGTTCTGCCCCTCCAGAGACCTCCAAACATATCTTTTAAATAAGTTTGATATTTTAAGTACTTTCAACCATTAGTTATATAATGTAGATTACAACTCACCCCCCATACATATGCTACTCAAGACACAATTGAGTTCAATACTGTGCTTCCTAAAATAGAACACTGAAGAGAAACCCAGCTCTCTACATGTGAACCAAGCAAGGCAGAGCCCAGAGGTAGACAACCATTTATTTTTATCTGGATGCTCTACTACCAACAACATAGTACCGTCCAAAGGTTAGACTAAGCTTTCTTGGAGCCAGACTACCCACACTTACTAGTAAATACCCCAACTCTAAGTAAACTTGGCCAGGTTATTAACCAAAGCCACAAAATCATCATTTGTAAAATCTATAATAATAAAAGGATAATATGCTAATTAGACCAGACATCCTTCCAGATGACCTTCTGGACAAAGCCAGGGCTGCGAGGGAAGCCTGGGTCCCGGGTGCTAGAGGCAAGCCAGTGATGGCAGCTGCAGGAAGGAAGGCTACTCTTGCACGAATTTTGTGCATTGGGCCTCTAGTATGGGTTATAATAGTACACACTGCCCATCTCTGGTACATTTAAAGTATAAACAAATGCCAGGTACTTAGAGCATATTTTAAGAATTCAATAAATATTGGCTATCATTATCATCATTGTCATCGTCACCATCATTATCATCATATCATTACTCATCAAAAATAAATGTTAGTGCCTTTAACAATTATCTCATTCACTGGGTTCATCTATATATATATGCCTAAGTGACTGAACGACCAGTCGATCAGTCACTATGACGCACACTGACCACCAGGGGGCAGATACTCAATGCAGGAGCTGCCCCCTGGTGGTCAATGTGGTCCCACAGTGGGCGTGCCACTCAGCTGACTGACAGGCACCAGAGGCAGGGCTCATGGCTAGCAGGCACTGCTGTGGCGGTGCGAGCCTCTCCCAACTGGGACTGACAGAGTGCGAGCCCACAGCAGGCACAGCAGGGCCAGGATGAGCAGGAGAGACAGGCAGGAGTGGCAGGCAGCACTGGACTGCCGGATTTCGGCCCAATCCCCACAGGCCATGCCGAGGGACCCCAATGATACATGAATCCGTGCACTGGGCCTCTAGTCTATATATATAAAACCCTAATATGCAAATAGACCAAACGGCAGAACAACCAAACAACCAGTCATTATGATGTGCGTTGACCATGAGGGGGCACACACAGAACATGGTGGGTATCAGCAGCAGAGCGCGGAACATGGTGGGCATTGGCCATGGCGGGATGGTGGAGCAGGTGAGTGGAGGGGCCAGACCAAAGCAGGGCACCAGTTGCTGTCATTGGGGCGAGCCTCTGGTGGTTACTGAAAATTCTTCGCTCCCACGTGCCGCGGTCCCACCGGTGCTCGCACCTGCTGCTGGTGATGGAGCCACCGCTCGCATCTGCTGCCGGTGCCCAGCGCCAGCCCCAATCACTTGGCACTGTCAGCGGGTGCAAGCAGTGACTGCCAGCCCTGATTGCCCCTCAGGGCTTCTCCACCTCCCCCTGCTCCTGAAGGGCAATTGAGGCTGGCAGCCACCTCTCGCACCCACTGCTGGTGTCAGCCCCAATGACTCCATGCCATCAGCTGGTGGGAGAGGCAGCTACAGGAGCTGGGCTGCCAGCAGACAGGGGATCAGGGACCAGGGCAGGAGGGGCTGGGCGGGGGCATGAAGGATGGGCTGAGACCCGCCCCTGTGCCCACCGCAGCCTCATGGCCCACAGTTCCTTTCAAGGTGCATGAGTTCATGTACTGGGCCCTAGTTATCTATAAAATCCACAAGAATTTTTTTCCCCACAAAGTCACATTTTCTACCTACTTTATTTTGGCAATTCAAATCATGTAAATCCTGAAATTTAAATTAATTCAATATACATTTATCATTGTTTGGGTTTGGTTCAATTTTCTAGTCATTGTGAATAGATAATCTATTTATATCAGCAACTAGCTCTTTATCCTAAATGCATATTGTCTGCCTTCTAGATCTTCAGGTCATTCAAAATAATATAGAAAGTCCCCAAAAAATGTATACACATTTTAACAGCTGATAGCTCACTTAATTTTCACTCATTTTCAGGGTTAACTGATTTGAAATAATGAATGAAGACAGACTAATCTTTGAACAAAGAAAATTTATCCTAAAGTGCCACTAGATTTTTTTTTATGGGGCTACATAAAAGATAAAGATTACAGTACAAAACTGACAATAGTCAATGATTGAGGGCACACAAACACCAAATGAAATGATTCTTGATGTCTGCGATTCCATTGCTTCACATTATCATCAGTGCCTGGACCAGAACAGTCATCACTTTGAAAACAGGCATTGACAAAAATAATTAATCATTTCTGTAGATTCTTTTAAATTTTGAAAATGAACTGTATGTTAATAAACACTGACTTGATAATCACTCAAAGTGTGTATACAATTTTTGGGGACATCCAGTATGTGACACAGACTCTCTTCTTGACCAAACTCTAATCAGGCTCCTCTAAACTGTTTCTCAACTAGGCCTCAACCTTGGCATATAAAAACTGCAGTCACAGAAGTAGACATTTATGAGAAGTGAGGGGGGTTGACAGAGGTGATCCAGATTTCTTAATTGATGCATATCTGCAGTTACTTCAGAAAGCTTGCAATTATAAATCCTTTTTCTCCCCTTTGAGAGGTAAATCTTCTATCACCCTTCCCCCACACTGTCTTCTCAAGGACCTCAGAACCCTCTCTTTGAAATGCAAACATTCAAGGAGATAATGCTTCCAGTCAGCTGAGTACCTTGCTGCAACTTGCATCATTACCTCCAGCCATAAAGATTCGGGAAGTTTGTTTCTCCTGCAGATAAGCATAAATTAACAAATTTCTCACAAAATTTCCTCTCACTTCTTGTAGATATCCACTTCTGTGACTCTGATCAAGTCACAGATTCTTTCTACTAATTCTCCCTCTCTATTTTTTTTATCCTCCCTTTAAGATGCCCAGTTACTGCTGCATAAATTGAAGTTGAGTTCATTTCATGCTGGATCCTCCTCCCTGCAGCAATAGTTACTGAATAATGTCTATCGCCTTATGGCTTTAACTAGTGCCCAGCATGGATGTGAGAACAAGAAAAAAGGCCTTTCTTTTTCTTTGCTATAGCATTCTACAATTTATGAGAAGCACTTGGTAATTAAATCCCAAGATTGTTAGCTCCTCTGATTCAAACAACCTCAGTTCAAACTGCAAGACAACTTAAGTTACTCTCAAGGTTACATTCTTGTATACACCTCCTCCCTGCTGGTTTACAACTCAGGGATAATTAATAGAAAGTTCCTTCCCCCCCTCCTCTTCAAACAAGCTTCTTTTGAACTCTTCATAACTTTTGCTCTGTAGACAAAAAGAGGCCACATGCTAACATGACAAGCTCAGGGAATGCCTGCGTGGTGGCCTCTGCAAACTCAGAGACCTAAGGTAACCACAAAGGATGGTCTGAAATTAAACTTTTCAATTAAAAAGCAGTCTGTGGTGGGTAGTCATGTCCTAGTTTAGTATCTTCCCTGACAAAGATCAATCTTTACCTTAACTGAGCCTATTATCTTTCTGCACCCAGGATAAAATACCTTTGGAATGTCAGGATAACTTCTAACTTTCATTTTTTCTGGACCCCTCAGGGCACAACCAACGCTATAGGTAGAGACTACAAATTCCCTCATTTTTATTGTTATCGTGTAAATTGTTGACTATTAACTATCCTGTACCCACCTATGTAAAAGAAGCATGTGTCTATCATTTTACTTTTTACCCAAACCCAGAAGTTTCTCCTTTTTTGCTTTCTCCCACCTCTCTAATCTATCACTAATGGATTTCATGTAACCCGCTTACATCTCTTCCTTTGATGGTAATTTAAAAAAAAAATAGGTGAAAAACTGCCATTCTCTAAAGCATTGTCTCAATGCACTGAGATTCTGCTTCCAGCAATTGTTGACAGTTTGGCTCAAGTAAGCTGACAAAAATTCTTTACTAGTACAGGTTTGAATGTTTCTTATGTTAACAGCTCTAAGAATGTTTTATAGGCTTTGGAAAAATACTGATAAGACACCTCCCTAGGACATCTGCCTAGAACTAACAAAGACAACCTCCCTGATGTCTGCTCAATTTCAGCCCCCAAATCCTCCTCCCTTCCTTGTCACCTAGCAACAGCAGCCATTAAAAGAGCAGGACACAGTCTATTTCTTTGCCTCTGTATTGATTAGCCCTTTCCTTTCTGGGAAAGTAAAATAAACTTTCTCTCTGCATCTATCTCTTCTTTTAGTTGTGAATTCTTGGCATCACCAGCCCAAAACCATAACACTCAGCTTTATCTTTCACAGTATCACTAGGATTACTTTATGACTTGAAGGTCACTTAAATTATACAAATACAAAAACTTTTTCTTTGCCCTTCCAAATCCTCACCAAGATCTTTCAGGTTTCCTTTAAAAAAAGATATCCAATTTCAAAATTCTGATGATTTTTTCTGCTATTTATTCTGGAGTACATAGCATGGTTTTAAAACATAAACATGAGAAAGCTAACAGGAAATATGAAGAACCTACCTTGTAAGCCCTGAATCTTTCCAACATCACTGAGTATATCATTAAAGTTGTTTAATTAATGGCCAGAGGATATGAATTCAATAAATGAGTGCTAAGTGTCATAAATTCATGCTCCTGACAAAAGATAGTATCTCTTAGAGTATATAAAGTAGATATACCATGTTGCCATTACTCTATAGCAGTGGTGGCGACCCTTTTGAGCTCGGCGTGTTAGCATTTTGAAAAACCCTAACTTAACTCTGGTGCCGTGTCACATATAGACATTTGATATTTGCTGCAACCATAGTAAAACAAAGATTCATATTTTTGATATTTATTTTATATATTTAAATGCCATTTAACAAAGAAAAATCAACCAAAAAAATGAGTTCGCGTGTCACCTCTGACACGCGTGTCATAGGTTCGCCATCAATGCTCTATAGATATTTCAAAACTCAAATTGCACATTGTCATGTAATAAAAAATGAAGATAGGCCACTTTTCTACATTTATTCAATAGATTTAGTTTTGAACAAATATATTCCAGGTTGATTTTAGATTTTGTTATGCAGTTATTTTATGCTATAACAGACTTTCATTTATTACTTTATACAAGTTCATGGTAATAGACTAAGAAGAAAACATATGAGCTGGAGGATATACAGGGCAAGGAAAAGAGTAGTAGACTGGGAGGTAAAAACCTGGGCCCATTTCTATTCTGTCATAAATCATTGGTGTGAATTTAGGGCACTATATTACTATTTTATGGTCTTGGTTTACAGGTCTGTAAAAGTAAGAGGTTGGACTATGTGTCTCTGAGTGTCTTTGATTTGTTTTCCAGCTTTAAAATATAATAATGCCTCTACCCTGATCTGGGTTGTGATCTCTGCCCAATTCCTGAGGTTAGTCATTTTATGCTTCACTCATCCAATTTTTTGTAATATAAGTGCAATCCTATTTGTTCTATATTTCTCCATGGGGCCATCAAAATAATTTGAAAAGTGCACATAAAAGCATTTGGAAAAAAGTGACAGCTTTTTGCCCTAGCCGGTTTGGCTCAGTGGATAGAGCGTCAACCTGTCTGAAGGGTCCCGGGTTCGATTACGGTCAAGGACACATGCCTCGATTGTGGGCTCAGTCTAACATGCAGGAGGCAGCCAGTCAATGATTCCCTCTCATTATTGATGTTTCTATCTCTCTCTTCCTCTCTGAAATCAATAAAAAAATATATTAAAAAAGTGACAGTATTTTAAAAAATTATCTTATTTATTGTTCTGCTGGAAAAAAGTAATAGTGTTACTGTATTTAAGAGTACACGTCAATTGAAAAGAAACCTTTATGATTAGATGGATGTAAGCACAATAAGATATGTCTAAGTTTTGATTTGGTGTAGTTGCTTTTCTTAAATTGACACATTCAATACTTCTCTAGTTATTTTCTACACTTAAGAGTTTTTGCTGAAACAAAAAGTGCATGGTATTCAGGGAAGTCAAAGAAAATACTAATCTTCAGGTGAAAAAATAAAACTTTCAATTTTTAACATTAGAGACCACTTAAACCATTTCAAATGTAATTATTAAAAAGTCAAAGGTTATTAAGAAATTAACATTATTATCGTTTTTACTCCTAACAACAAATTCAGAGAAGTACACACATATGGATACTCATCCTGCAAATATGAGAAGGAAACAAGGATAAGTAAACAACAAGATGACTTTGAGAAAAATCAGGACATGAGGCAATCTGGATGGACACCAGCCTATACAATGAGGACTTAAAGTGTCATTTGTTTGTTAAGGGCCATGCTCAAGCCAATAAAACAATGACAGCCTTTCATGCGCAAGTCATTAAAGGGTAAATAAACACATAAGAAAAATAATTTTAGATTTCTAGGAAATTATATCCTAGATTGATGAGTATACATAAAAATAAATCTTACACAAAACATAATTTGATAAATGCAACAATAAAAACAAAAACTATGCTGGGTTCCAGAGACAAAGCTAAAAGAAAGGGAGAAAGATAGAAACCATATACATGCATAAATAGTAGAAAGATGATCCCTGGTCAAAACCCATCCCCTCAAGCATACGACCCAGCAATCCCACTTCTGGGTGTATACCCCAAAAAACTCAAAATGATGTGTTTGCAAAGATATATGCACCTCTGTGTTCACTGAGGCATTATTCAAGGTGCCAAGACATGGAAACAACCAAATTGTCCCAAAATACAGGAGTGGATAAAGTAGATGTGGTACATATACACAATGCAATACTACTCACTCATAAGAAAGGATGAAATAGTGCCATTTGCAACAACATGGATGGAACTTGAGAAGATCATGCTAAGTGAAATAAGTCAGTCAGAAAAAGCTAAGAACCATATGACTTCACTCATATGTGGGATATAAAACTGAAACTCATGAACGCAAACAGCAGTGTGGTGGTTGCCAGAGGGAAAGGGCAAGGGTAGGGAGTACTAATATAAGGTGACAGGAGAAGATTTGACTTTGGGTGCTGAGCACACTGCAATATACAGATCTTGTAACACAGAAATCCACACCTGAAACCTATATGTTCATGTTGACCAATTAATTTAACTTTAAAAAGAAAAGAAAATATAAGTTGGTAAAGCAGGATCTCACTGATAGTATTTGAGCAGATCTGAAGTAAATGATATCTAGCCTCTAATCTCTAGATAAAAATAACAGAGGAAGTACACGGGCCATGGGGAGCATCCCTTGGGCATGCGAAGAACAGCAAGGAGGCCTGTGCTGAGGGAGTGACCTGAGAGAATGGGCTCCAGAGGAAATGTTGAGATCAGGGAAGTAGGAGGGACTGCCTAGGAGGGTCATGAAGACCATCCTAAGGGTATTTATTGGTTTTTATTCTGACATGAACTGGCACACCAGTAGCAGAGCAATATGAACAGATTTATACTTTAGAACAATCGCTTTAGCAGCTCTGTGGTGACTAGACTGTACCTTATTTTAATTATAAAATTGAGTTCAAAGTACAATAACAGAGTCTATATTAATAGTAATAACAACAATGACATATATAGTGTACTTATTATATACCAGGTATTACGCTAAGCATTTTACATAATTATCACACTTGTTTTCCATAAATTATCAATATCTCCAGATTAAAAATATTAAAAAAATTTTTTAAGTAACCAGCCCACAGTCACACATGTGGGCAGTGTTAAAGTCTAGATTCTCAGCCTGGTCATCTGATCCCAGAGTTGAACCTGTCTGGATATAAAACAGAATATCCCAGGCAACTTTTAGAACATGTCCTCACCCACTTGCTTCCAGAGATTTGTATTTAATTATTCTGGAGTGGGGCCTGGGCATTAGTATTATTTTAAGTTTTCTAGAGCATTCTAACGTACAGCCAGAATTGAAGACAACTGTGAATGAAGCAGCTACAGTGTCATGCCTAAAATTAATAGTATGCTTAGTTACTACTAATTTAGTTATTACTACTAAAATTAGAAGTAATGCAAAATTAGTACAATGCTTTCTTGCAGATTTATTTTTAATGAGAACAAAAGGTAAAAAGCTACTGAGTTGTCTTTCTGGAGAAAACCAGCATTAATCCTTTTCTCTATGTATAAATGTTATGATTAAGTAATAGCTCTGTATATTTTTAAAGATAGAATAATTTAAGTGCATGATCTGTTCATTCCCACCTCGACCCTGGTCAGCCCCAGGATGGCGATGGCCACGCGGATACTACTGCTCTCCAGAGTGCCCGTGAGCAACCTCCGCTGATACTCTACATCTGACATCTGCTGCTGTGCTGCAAAAGCCAATGCCTTTTCCTTGACTTCGTTCGTCAGTGGCAATATAAGGTCCGTATCCAACGTATGACAGGGTTTGCATTTCAAATACAGAACTGGATTGTCCTCATCAAGCTCTAGGGTGAAGCAAAAACATTCATGGCTGCAATGGATTTGGGAGGTTTGAAATATAAAACTGAAGTCGTGGTCTTCATTAAACAGAGTAAAAATAGGTAACGCATTTCTAGTGGTATTAATTCAGTAATTCAAGAATAAGTCTTCAGAAATTAAAGATATTTTCCTGGTACTCTCTAAAAAGAGTTCTAATCAAATGGTTCTTTCATAGAAACATTATCAACATGATCAAAAATTCAGTGACCTGGAGACTATTATGCTAAGTAAAATATGCCATTCTGAGAAAGACAAATATCACATGATCTCACTTATTTGTGGAATCTAATGAACAAAATGAATTGACTGACAAAATAAGACCTGAAGAATGGAGGCATGGAACAGACTGACATATCTCAATATGGGGTTGGGGGAACGAGAAGAGTTAAACCAAAGAACTTATATACTTATATGCATAGCCCATGGACATGGGCAATAGATGGTGAAGACCTGGAGGGGGGCTGGGGCTGGGAGGAGGGGGGAAAAGGAGGGTTGGGGAAAAGGAGACATCTGTAATACTGTCAACAATAAAATATATATGTATTTTTAAAAATTCAGTGACCATTGTGCTCCTATCAGTGATTAGAAGGTAGGAATGGTAGAAATAAATGTAAAGAAAGACATCTATCAATGATTGGTATGAACTAGAATTTTCTTTCACTAACAACTTTATACTTTAAACTAGAATGTTATATTACCAACATAATAAAGTTAAAATCTAATTATATATTGGATAAACTTGCTATGAGGAAGCTTAGGTAAATATATGTGGAACAGTCCCTTCCTCAACATTATAAATAAAACTAGAGGTCCAGTGCACAAATTCGTGCACGGGTGGGGTCCGGCCAGCCCAGCCCCAATTGGGGCAGATCAGGACCAGGCCTGTTGGGAGGAGGAGATGTCGGGAGGTGGGCCGGCTGGGGGGAGGGGCCGTGGGTGATTGGCCGGCGGGCCCCACCCCCGAATGGGGTTGGGGGGCTGATTGGGGGTCAGCAGCCAAGGGAGGCATGGTGGGAGGTTGGCCAGCCAGCCCCATCCCGGATTGGTGTGGGAGGGTGATC